AGAACACGGGCGAACCATCTTTAAAAAGACGTGCCACGTGCAGCTCTTTCGAAGAGAGGAGGAAATTCAGTCTTTCAGCGCTGAGGCGTCCAGGAGAAGCGCAAAGTCTGGCAGACCACTGCTCAGATCGAGGCGATGCGATGCAGAATCTCGCTGGTACCGCCGTCACACACCAACACTGAAGAGGACGCTCGTCTCGAAGAGTCTTGTCAGTGAGAGGCTTTAGAGGAGTGAAGAGGTCTCTTGGCTCCTCAGCGAAGACATACTGCGGTTGCGTCACTTCCTCCTTTTATACCCACGGGGTGGGGCGAGTTACGCTATGCAAATTCCGCAGCCCCAAGGCATTTTCATGCCATTGGCTCGTTATTAAATACTCGAAGAGGATTGGCTTTCTATGCGAAATCCCCATTCTCCGTCACTCCTGACGTAACTCGGAGTGACTACGAAAGGGAACTTGTTTATTTATTAAAAATATGGCCTGTTATGAATGCAATAAACCCTTTAAATTTTTTATTTTAAGCTCATTTGTATTATTATTAGTAGTAGTAATAATTGTATATGCAGCTGCCACACACAAATCTAATTTAATTGCAATTACAATATTTATAATTTTAGTTATGATTATTTATTGCAAAACTATGCAGCCCTTTTCTATATCTCTATCCATGATTCTGATCCATAATAGAAGGATGATTGGATGAGGGATGGATGTATGGATATCTGTCTATACAGATGCACAAACAATACAAATAAAAACTGAATTATGTGTGTTACACACAAGTGTTACAACTAACCCCTCTGTCTATTACAATAAACCCCGCATATGGGGTAAGTTGTAACATTTGCACTTCTGTCACGTTCAGTGCAACTGTACGAAAATGCTAGGTCCTAGAAAAAACATTTGTAGCAGAGATGTGTACAGTATGTTGCTTGTGTAAAAAAAGTATTAATCTAACCTAATTATTTTTTAATTAATTGAGCCAAAACCAAAATGCGTTAGGTTATGCCCCGCTCTCCCCTACTGTGATAATCATAAAGACATCAGCTGCTTTTAAGTGTCATCGTATATGTTGTCCCCGATAACTTGAACTAGGAATGAATGTCTGTCTAATCGTAAATCACTCACTCACACACACACACACACTTTACCTGTTTGTCAGCTCACTCTGTTTGTGTTTCTCATCAAGCATGCAAAAACAGCAGATGCACTGACCATCAGTGCGACAGTAAACCTCCAAGAGCCTCTGGTGTTCACCGCACATCTTCTCCAGGAGGTTTCCAGTGACGTCCACCAGTAAGTGTGTATTCCCAGCACTCAAGTCATTGTGCATCTGAAGGTGAGTTTCGCAGTACGACGCCAAACACACCAGACAAGTCTTGATGGCTTTCTCCTCCCTACCAGTGCAGGAGTCGCACGTCTGAAATCCCATCTTTCCCAGTTCCCCTGCAACCGAATCTACGGATTCATCCAGATCTGTCCCGCACCGATGAAAGGTGTTTTCCTTCAGGTCCTGGAGGCAAATCGAGCACATGTGTGTGTTCTTATCATCTGCCATTTGCATGGAGGTCTAGGAGCTCTGTGTTAAAGAGACAAACACTTTCCTTTTCGTTCCTTTACCTTATGCGTAATTGTTGGTTTGTGTGTGTGTGTGCCACAGATAAAGAGAGACAGAACTCATGTGAAACCTAATTCAGAGAGACAGATAGTTGCGTGCTACTGTGTGGTTAGATAAATGAAATAACTTGGAGTGACCAGAAAAACCAGTCAAAGACGACAGAACGCTGTCATGTGGATATTTAAAATATTTTCATGTTGTGTTTGCATGCATATCGAGGTGGATTGAGGTTGAAAAGATTGTGAACTCTTGGTTTGTTGTCGCTTTTGTAGTTTTTTTCTCTCAGTGAGTGTTTTTTTGATAAGGTTTATATGTGGACAGAGTCCAGTTGCCGTGAGCTTGTCAAACACACTGTTGTGTAACGTGTTAAGAGAGACAATAAACCCGTATGTGGGAAGAGCCAAGTATGGGCTGTTGTATAATTGAATACCTTTTGTTTCATAATTTTATTTTAGGTGTTCTGGCATGATTTTTTGGTTCATGTAATTTCTCAGTGAAATTAAACCGGATCAATAGTAATTAAACTGTATTAAGTGCACTGTAAAAAAATATTGTTAGTTTAACTTAAAAAAGTAAGTAACCTGGTTGCCTTAAAATTTTAAGTTGATTGAACTGGAAAAAGTGAGTTCATGCAATGAAGGAGATTAATTTACTCATCAGAAACTCAAAATAATAAGTTCTCAACTAAATAAATTATTATAAAGTTGATTTGACAAAAGAAAATATGTTGTGATAACAAATATTGAATTTTTTTTTCCATAAAATAATTTTCAATAATTTCCCCATAAAGTCTTGTTTCAAAGGCTTATAATATGCTGTGTTGTTACGATGTGCGTGTGTAGGCTAAATAAAGCAGAAGTTACCTAAATAAATGACGAATTGACAACTTTTGTTTCTAACATCAAGACTTGTGTAATTTGTACGCTGTGAAAGAAAACTTGCTGCCTTAATTTTAAGTACAATCAACCTGTATATTTAAGTAATTTCAACTTAAATCACAATAAACTGACTTAAAAAACGAGTTGCTTTTAAAATCGATATATAAATCGAATTGAATATCGAATATAAAATCGAATATAAAAAGCTTATTTTGATGAGTGAAAGCAATGTAAAAAATGTTGTGATAACTCATTGATCATGTCATGTTTTTACAGCGCGTGTGTTTTGAGATGACGTAACCGGTCACCATTTCTTTTAAAGTTTTCACCAATTCATCTAAACTTCTTCGCCATCCCCTTTTCACTTCACTTAGTTTGTCCTGAGTTAATCAGTTTAGTTCACAAGTACAATTCAGTCAGCCTGAATAATTGCCTGTCTAGAAATCAGGATTTTAGCTAAAACAAATTACTTTGAGGACAATTTAAATTATATTTTTTTATTAAGCATATTTTCATCTTTAAACAATATCAAATTATGGCTCGATTTATAGTCATTTTTATTATATATATATATATATATATATATAGGTGGGTGTGTGTAGCCTATGTATATGTATGTAAATATGTACCTGTAGCCTTCTGTAGTGTTTTTAAGCCTCTATAACACTAGCATTAAAATGCCACGAATGTATGAATGAGTTGATCAGGTATGTTCAGAACCTGTTATCGGTGTAATAACATTACAGACTATCAACATGTGAAATCTCTCAGTGTGAAAAATATGAATTTACTTAAGTTTATCATCTTTTTACTCATTTAATTCCTTTTATAACTGACCGCATCATCTTTACATCTCTTAATTCCTTGGTAACAATTTAGTTAACTTTAGTTATTAACTTTACACGAACTAACCGTGAGAAATACATTTGCTACTGTATTTATTAATCTTTTATGTAAGTTAATAAAAATCCAGCTGTTCATTGTTTGTTCACAGACCTTTAATGAATGTTAACAAAGACAACCTTTGATTTTAATAACGTATAATTAAATGTTGAAATTAATATCAACTAAGATTAATAAATGCTGCAGAAGTATTATTCTTTCTTATTGAACCTTATTGTAAAGTGTCACCAATTACTTTTATAACTGTTTCATTTTGAAAAAAAAAACATTTGTATGTGTAGCTATATTGTAAAATGCTAATCCCACAATAGGCTACTTTGATATTTGATCCCCATATGCCGAATTCATGTCATGATATTTAAGTAGGCTAAGTGACTGGTACTTTTACACGATCACGGTCCCTCTTGTACATGCCGATGGTGTTCATATGTAATGCTGATATGCATAAGCTTTATAAAGTCATCATAACACGTGTGACGCGCCCGTGTGTGTTTATGAAACCTCATTCACATTTCGCACTGCGCACGCGCGCGCACACACACACGCATAAAAGCAGCCGTGCACGCGTGAGCAGAGATAGTCTCCTCATCAGGTGAGTGTGTGTGAATGGGTTTTTCTCAACCTCGTAATCGATGATTATTCGGCATTTTTCCGCTGTTCGGATGAAAACGACCTCGATTGTTCTGGTCTGTGTTGATTTGTGAAGCCCGTGGAGGGATATTATTTCAGCAAAGTTTTACATTATGTTTTGCTCAGATAATGAATGAACATGATGAGAAATGACGTAAGTAGTTATTTAGCTCATCATAATAAGAAAATCATAATTCATAATTGAGCACTTCTTGTGTTGTTGACCCGCTTGCTCTAACGTTAGTCCTCAGTTGAGTCGCTGTATATTGAGTAACGCTGTTTTTATGTTTATATTTATGAGTTTGAGATTAGTATATTCGCTAGTCTAATTAGTAAGGCGTTTAAAAAATAACATTGGTGCTCAAAAACCGTAATATTATTTACCATATTAATGTTGGTGTGAATGCCATGTAGGGCTTTTTCATAAATAATGTAGTGATCATGAGTGTCCAAAAACATTTCTGAAAGAATCTTATCATGTTAGTTAATTGCAGCTCGCATTTAATTACCTTATGACGGCAATACATGTCTATAACACTTGCATTAATATGCCATGTGTTTATGAATGCATGAATATGTAAGGAGTTGATCAGGTATGTTGAGAATCTGTTAAACTGTTATATAAGTTTATCATCTTTTTACTCATTTAATTCCTTTTATTTAAAGCTCCAGTATAGCTCCAGTATAGCTCCTGTATAGCTCCAGTATAGCTCCAGTAATGCTCCAGTATAGCTCCAGTAATGCTCCAGTATAGCTCCAGTAATGCTCCAGTATAGCTCCAGTATAGCTCCGGTATAGCTCCAGTAATGCTCCGGTATAGCTCCAGTATAGCTCCAGTATAGCTCCAGTATAGCTCCAGTAATGCTCCAGTATAGCTCCAGTAATGCTCCGGTATAGCTCCAGTAATGCTCCAGTATAGCTCCAGTAATGCTCCAGTATAGCTCCAGTAATGCTCCGGTATAGCTCCAGTAATGCTCCAGTATAGCTCCAGTATAGCTCCAGTATAGCTCCAGTAATGCTCCAGTATAGCTCCAGTAATGCTCCGGTATAGCTCCAGTAATGCTCCAGTATAGCTCCAGTATAGCTCCAGTATAGCTCCAGTAATGCTCCAGTATAGCTCCAGTAATGCTCCGGTATAGCTCCAGTAATGCTCCAGTATAGCTCCAGTAATGCTCCAGTATAGCTCCAGTATAGCTCCTGTAATGCTCCAGTAAAGCTCCAGTAATGCTCCTGTATAGCTCCAGTATAGCTCCAGTATAGCTCCAGTATAGCTCCAGTATAGCTCCAGTAATGCTCCTGTATAGCTCCAGTATAGCTCCAGTAATGCTCCAGTATAGCTCCAGTATAGCTCCAGTAATGCTCCAGTATAGCTCCAGTATAGCTCCAGTATAGCTCCAGTATAGCTCCAGTAATGCTCCAGTATAGCTCCAGTATAGCTCCTGTAATGCTCCAGTATAGCTCCAGTAATGCTCCAGTATAGCTCCAGTAATGCTCCAGTATAGCTCCAGTATAGCTCCTGTAATGCTCCAGTATAGCTCCAGTATAGCTCCAGTATAGCTCCAGTATAGCTCCAGTAATGCTCCTGTATAGCTCCAGTATAGCTCCAGTATAGCTCCAGTATAGCTCCAGTAATGCTCCTGTATAGCTCCAGTATAGCTCCAGTATAGCTCCAGTATAGCTCCAGTATAGCTCCAGTATAGCTCCAGTATAGCTCCAGTATAGCTCCAGTATAGCTCCAGTAATGCTCCAGTATAGCTCCAGTATAGCTCCAGTAATGCTCCAGTATAGCTCCAGTAATGCTCCAGTATAGCTCCAGTATAGCTCCAGTAATGCTCCAGTATAGCTCCAGTAATGCTCCAGTATAGCTCCAGTAATGCTCCAGTATAGCTCCAGTAATGCTCCGGTATAGCTCCAGTAATGCTCCAGTATAGCTCCAGTAATGCTCCAGTATAGCTCCAGTATAGCTCCTGTAATGCTCCAGTATAGCTCCAGTAATGCCCCAGTAAAGCTCCAGTAATGCTCCTGTATAGCTCCAGTATAGCTCCAGTAATGCTCCAGTATAGCTCCAGTAATGCTCCTGTATAGCTCCAGTATAGCTCCAGTAATGCTCCAGTATAGCTCCAGTAATGCTCCAGTATAGCTCCAGTATAGCTCCTGTAATGCTCCAGTATAGCTCCAGTATAGCTCCAGTATAGCTCCAGTATAGCTCCAGTAATGCTCCTGTATAGCTCCAGTATAGCTCCAGTAATGCTCCTGTATAGCTCCAGTATAGCTCCAGTATAGCTCCAGTATAGCTCCAGTAATGCTCCTGTATAGCTCCAGTATAGCTCCAGTATAGCTCCAGTATAGCTCCAGTATAGCTCCAGTATAGCTCCAGTATAGCTCCAGTAATGCTCCTGTATAGCTCCAGTATAGCTCCAGTATAGCTCCAGTATAGCTCCAGTATAGCTCCAGTATAGCTCCAGTATAGCTCCAGTATAGCTCCAGTATAGCTCCAGTATAGCTCCAGTAATGCTCCAGTATAGCTCCAGTATAGCTCCAGTAATGCTCCAGTATAGCTCCAGTATAGCTCCTGTAATGCTCCAGTAAAGCTCCAGTATAGCTCCTGTAATGCTCCAGTAATGCTCCAGTATAGCTCCAGTAATGCTCCAGTAATGCTCCAGTATAGCTCCAGTAATGCTCCGGTATAGCTCCAGTAATGCTCCAGTATAGCTCCAGTAATGCTCCAGTATAGCTCCAGTATAGCTCCTGTAATGCTCCAGTATAGCTCCAGTAATGCCCCAGTAAAGCTCCAGTAATGCTCCTGTATAGCTCCTGTATAGCTCCAGTATAGCTCCAGTAATGCTCCAGTATAGCTCCAGTATAGCTCCAGTAATGCTCCAGTATAGCTCCAGTATAGCTCCTGTAATGCTCCAGTATAGCTCCAGTAATGCTCCAGTATAGCTCCAGTAATGCTCCAGTATAGCTCCAGTATAGCTCCTGTAATGCTCCAGTATAGCTCCAGTATAGCTCCAGTATAGCTCCAGTATAGCTCCAGTAATGCTCCAGTATAGCTCCAGTAATGCTCCAGTATAGCTCCAGTAATGCTCCAGTATAGCTCCAGTATAGCTCCTGTAATGCTCCAGTATAGCTCCAGTAATGCTCCAGTATAGCTCCAGTAATGCTCCAGTATAGCTCCAGTATAGCTCCTGTAATGCTCCAGTAATGCTCCTGTATAGCTCCAGTATAGCTCCAGTAATGCTCCAGTATAGCTCCAGTAATGCTCCTGTATAGCTCCAGTATAGCTCCAGTATAGCTCCAGTATAGCTCCAGTATAGCTCCAGTAATGCTCCTGTATAGCTCCAGTATAGCTCCAGTATAGCTCCAGTATAGCTCCAGTATAGCTCCAGTATAGCTCCAGTATAGCTCCAGTAATGCTCCAGTATAGCTCCAGTATAGCTCCAGTAATGCTCCAGTATAGCTCCAGTAATGCTCCAGTATAGCTCCAGTATAGCTCCTGTAATGCTCCAGTATAGCTCCAGTAATGCTCCAGTATAGCTCCAGTATAGCTCCTGTAATGCTCCAGTATAGCTCCAGTATAGCTCCAGTAATGCTCCTGTATAGCTCCTGTAATGCTCCAGTATAGCTCCTGTAATGCTCCAGTAATGCTCCTGTATAGCTCCAGTATAGCTCCAGTATAGCTCCAGTATAGCTCCAGTAATGCTCCAGTATAGCTCCAGTAAAGCTCCAGTAATGCTCCAGTATAGCTCCAGTATAGCTCCAGTATAGCTCCAGTATAGCTCCAGTAATGCTCCAGTATAGCTCCAGTATAGCTCCAGTAAAGCTCCAGTATAGCTCCAGTGAAGCTGATGATGTTGCTCTGCTGTTCCTCAGGGTTGGCGATGGCAGATACGGTTGTTCAGCTGACCAGCGTCCAGGGTCTGGAGAATCATGTGTCCCCAAAACACGTGTCCACCAGAATGTCCTTCTCAGCGTCCCGGCGAGGAGCGACCGTGAGCTTTCACGACATCAACTATAATGTGAAGATGAAGAGCGGCTTCCTCTGCAAGAGGAAGGTCACGCGCAAGAACATCCTCATCGACCTCAAGTAAGTCGCTGCGCTTTTTCATTATTTTTTTTATAATACTAATATTCCTTACGTCAGGTGGTTACACACTAACATGTCAGGGGCAATAAAACATACAAATAAACACATTTGGAAAAATAAAACAAACACCAAGTTTAATGCCCTTCGAGGTGTCCATTGTCGGGTATTTATGGCGAGGCGTGAGCGTGGAGGACGGCTGCCTCCGTCCAAGTCCATTCATACCTGGACAATGGACACCTCGAAGAGTTCTCATCCCGCTTATCCCACGGCCACTCGACAAATAACAAAAGTTTAAAACATTAGTTTATATTTTAATTAGTTTTACAGTCGTAGTATTGTGAAAATTAGTGTGGAGTTACTATTGTACAAAGATGATGCATGATTTTTGGGTTTGTTTTTTGTATGCTTGTTTTTTTATATTTTTGTGTGTATGTTTTTGTATGCAGGCTTTGTTTTTGTGTTTTTGTATGCATGTTTTTTATGTTTATTTACGTTTTTTTATGTTTCTTGCGATAAGACATTTGATAAACGGTTGTTAATGCGTGCTTTTATGGGTGTTTTTATATGCATGTTTTTATTTAGTGTTTTAGTATGCATGTTGTTGTTTGTTGTATGTTGCATGCATGCATGTATTTGTTTTTTTTAATGCATGTTTTATTCTGTTTATTTTTGCATGTTTTTTTCGTACAAGTTATGCTTTTATAGCAGTACTAGTTTTTTCAAGCTGCCAAGTCAAGTCACATTTATTTCCATTTATACATTTATAACCCTAACCCTAACTAACATATCCTGCAAACGTGATGAAGTGAGCGAGTCCCTCTGCCGGTGTGGTCTTGTGTCGGTCCGGCCAGCGGGTCTCTTGTTCAGACTTGTCCTCTGCCTCGCTCTTCATCTTCTGAACACTCGATGTGAACACGGGCACGCCTGGCCCTCGCAGGAGCGAATGTGATGGTAGTGTTGCTTATTCTAGTGTTTTCATTCCTGGATTTGACGTCCTCTCAGAGGTCGTGGGTCTGAGAACATGTGGACGTGATGCGGGGTAACATGTGTGATTGGGGAATCCACCAGGGAGGGCTCGTGTGAATTGAAGGAAGGAAGTGTGGAGATCAGCTAAAGCTGCTCTCTAAAACACACACGCGGTTCACTGCAGAACGGCTCTCTTACCCAGGGTCCTTTCCAGTCTGAATATCTAACAGATCAAATCAAGATCCATTTGCCAGAAAAATAACATTCTATTAGATATTATGTCCTGTTTTCTGGAGAATTAATCGAAATGAAGTGAGTCGATGCTTAAAAAAGCTAAATTATCTGCCAATGGAGTGAGAAATAATCTTAATTCAAACAGAAACATTATTATTCTCACTCTATTGGCTGATGATTGAGCTTTTTTAAAGCATCAATTCTCCAGAAAACAGGACATCATATGTTATCTCATTTTACGAATCTTGATTGAAGAAATTTACATATTTTGACTGGAAACACGACAAAATATTAAGTAAGAAAAGCATTTACATAGACAAACAGCAGCAGAAGCTTGTTATCCAATCACACACACACACACACTTTACACATGTGCATGTTTACCGAACACACACATGCGCTTCCATAACCTGATGATGGGCGTTACGTGTTCACACACCCGCTGCGGCCAGGGCATTGTCCAACATCAAAGTCTCACACAACAATAGCCTGAACTTTCACACACACAACAACACACACAACAACAACACAACGCAACACACAACACATAACACACAACACAACAAACGCACCACACAACACACAAAATATAACACACACACACACACACACAACACATAAAATATAACACACAACACACACACACACACACACAATACACAACACATAAAATATAACACACACACACAACACACACACACACACACACACACACACACACACACACACACACACACACACACACACACACACAATACACAACATACAACACACACACACACACACACACACAACACAACACACACAACACAACACAATAGACATGACACACAGAATATATATATATATGATTTTTCATAATTTTTCCTAAAATTGACACATTCAGTTCAGCAGAAACTATAATCTTATAATTTCAGAATTATTAATTGCCCTTTTTTTAAATGTTCTTTTTGAAATCTTAATGAAATCATTTCCACTATAATGAGAGTGACATTGTTTAGCAGATATTCTAGTCCGGCATGTGTGTGTGTGTGTGTGTGTGTGTGTGTGTGTGTGTGTGTGTTCAACCCTTGTACAGGATTCCTATGTTTACTGTCAGCTCAACCGAGTGTGATCATTAACCCGTGTGTGTGTGTGTGTGTGTGTTGTTTAAGTGCTGATGTTTATTTCCTTGTGTGAACTGATTAAATAATTACAGTTTTTCTCGATTGTTTGCACACATTTTCTGGTACTCGAGACACAATGACCACAACATGTAACTCATTCACCAACCCCCTGAACCAATTCTGCTGAACCACAAACACAATTCCTGCTTTACACTCAAATTGCAGCTCTAAAACACACGTTTTTCAAAATTATTTCTTTATTTCTTTATTTCTTTAAAAATGTATTTATTTCTTTTTTTTCTGTAACAGCATAGACCACTGTATGTGCAACTTTGTGTTGGTTGGGGTGTACAAAATGTGGGATCTATCTCCCATTGATTTTGTGGGAAAAATAAAATATATTTGTTACATTGTATTTGTGTGTTCTGGGTATAAAACACAATATTCTCAAATATTTTTCAACACACTTATGTATGTAATGTCTGTAGTAAGTGTAACACTGAACAAAAAAGGCCCGAGTCATTATGATGAATGGAGAAGAAGTGTTTTAGATTTTGAGAAGAAATAACATTGTTTTGAATGTAAAGTTTGCTTTTGCAGGAGAATTGAGGGGTTTTGCCGATTGTGTGAGTGTTTTTAGATTTGTGTGTAGAGTTCTGAGAATATGAGGCATTCTTTCAGAAAATGTGTGTAAACAATCGAGAAAAACTGTAAATCTTCATGATCCTGGACATGCGCTCCGCTATCGGGATTAGGAGGAATATTAATTATGACTCGTCGCCTTCATCTGTTTGTACGTGATTGATATAATAGATTCAAATATTCTGGTCTTCCAAAAAGAAACTGCATTTCATGATCGCTTCGGCTGTGGCTCATCCAATCAGATTCCTGTGTGTGTGTTTTATAAATGCTGATGTTTATTTCCTCGTGTGAACTGGTGCTTGGCTTTATGTTTGGTTTAATTTTAATTTTAATTTTTGGTTTTAATTTTTTATTTTGGTTTAATGAAGAAGAAAATGAGGTGATGATGATTATTACATAATTCTGTGTGTCCTTTTCTCCAGTGGCATCATGAAGCCGGGACTGAACGCCATATTAGGAGCGACCGGGAGCGGGAAATCATCGTAAGAGCTGTCTATCTGTCTATCTGTCTCTCTCTCTCTCTCTATCTCTCTCTCTCTCTATCTGTCTATCTGTCTCTCTCTCTATCTGTCCATCCGTCCATCCGTCTATCTATCTATCTGTCTGTCTATCTCTCTATCCGTCTGTCTATCTGTCTGTCTATCCGTCCATCCGTCTGTCTATCTGTCTCTCTGTCGGTCTGTGTTTATACAATCAGCATTTTTATTATGTAATTTTACTCATCTAGTAAATGCATCTTGATTTAAGAAATGTTTGATATTTGGACTGGAAACAGGACAAAAATAGTAAGTAAGAAGAGCATGTTTTGCAGTGTAAAATAATGGCATGAACTCAAAACATGGACAGGAATAGAGCGCTTCCCAACAGTGGTTACACAAACATGACTTGATAAATACACATGGCAAACATGAGGCCTTTAATACACAAGACTAGACAAGGGACACATGGCAGGATCACATGACTAAAACAGGGGATCACATGACCGAGACATGAAACATGACCCAAAAGCAGACGTGTCGCTGATGTTGTTTCCATGTTGTAATGAAGGTTCCTGGATGTGCTGGCGGCCCGTAAGGATCCCGCTGGTCTTTCCGGAGAGGTTCTTATCGACGGAGCGCCTCAGCCTCCAAACTTCAAGTGTCTGTCGGGATATGTAGTGCAGGTATAAACTCACAGCAGCAAACAAGCACATCCTATTCATACAGACAACCCATCGAATACTATATCCTGTTATCTGGAGGATTCATCAAAATGAAGTGAGTTGATGCTTAAAACAAGCAAAATGATCTGCCGATGGAGTGAGAAAAATAATCTTAACATTATTTTCACTCCCGATTGGCAGATAATTTTGCTCGTTTTAAGCAAAAACTCACTTAATTTTTATTTATTTCCCCAGATAACAGGACACAATATCTTATGTCATTTCACTCATCTAGTAAATGCATCTTGATTTAAGAAATGTTTGATATTTGGACTGTAAATAAGATTACATAACTCTAGCATTAAAAAGAGGAAGTTGAACTGGTTTTTCTGTACAGCACGTTTCATGACTAAGGCATTTGTGAGATTGCTGACTAAGATTATAGTAGTAGTCAGTGTTGGGAAAGTTCACTTTCTACATGAACTAGTTAAAGTTCAGTTCACAAATTTTAAAATGAACTAGTTCAGTTCATAGTTCATACTTCACAATTTTAAACTAAGCTCACGGTTCCAAAAAATGAACTAGTTCATAGTTATTTTTTTTCCTTATACTGCTGCAAACTATTTTTTTTTATTATTATTATTGCCACAACCCATTTTACACTGAGCAAACCCAAATCTCATGAACTCAAAATATGAACGCGCTCAGGCACAACACTCGTAGGAGTGCAGGTTAGTTTGTTTTCCTTCCATACACACTTAAAAATAAAGGATCTTAATTGACGTAGCATCGATGGTTCCACGAAGAACCTTTAAAGTTTTTAATGTTGCCCAGACAGCAACATGTGGATTTAACAAAAAATGAAACATGTAGCGTTTACCACAGTAAAGTTAAGTGAGTGAATCAGGTAATCCGAGCTGCTGTGAGTGAGTGGAGGCGGGGCTCATTTGCATATTAAAATGTGGCAAGGGTGTCGAGTTACATTCATATTCTAAGGCATGAAGAAGTTGAGAAGTTCAAATTTATTTGTATATAAAAATTCAAAATCAATCACAGTTGACCAAAGTGTTTAACGATGTCAGGATACACACAAATAAACACACACAAATATATATATATATATATGAAGAGTTCAGATGCAAAAGCCTCTAAATGCCATTTGAAATTTTCTTCTAAAATGATGATTTTTATCAAACTTGTATATTTAAGTTCAGTAATTTCACTTAAATAACAATTAATAGGTAATTATCATTGCCATTTAAGTGAAATCACTGAACTTAAATATACAAGCTTGATAAAAATCATCATTAAAGAAGAACATTTCAAATGGCATTTAGAGGCTTTTGCATCTGAACTCTTCATATATTCACTGGACAAAAACTACAAAGATGAGTTTTAAGGAATTGGAGAGGAACTTACAATAGATGTCTTTAAAGCAGCAGCTCTGCCATAATGTAAAGATGTTTAACATACAGTGTAATAGAGTTACTATAGATCCTGTTTTCTTCTGAAGTCTGAAATCCTATAAATCGAATAACTCTTTAATCTAATCTCAAATCACGCCAGCCGTGTCAGGAGACACTCGCACTTCCGTCTCAAACTGTGTGTGTGTGTGTGTCAGGATGATGTGGTCATGGGGACGCTGACCGTACGGGAGAATCTGCGTTTCTCAGCCGCTTTACGGCTCCCGAAGACGATCAAACAACGAGAGAAAGATGAGAAGGTGGAGACACTCATCCAGGAGCTCGGATTGACCAAAGTGGCAGATTCACGGGTAACACACGACACACACTTCAGGAGTTATAATCATTTTACACAGGGTTTGAAATTAACTTTTTCACATGCCAAACAATTTGGCTTCTAATTTAAGTTACAAGCCTCTCAGAGCTTCTACTAGCAAAAAAAAGAAGAAATAATATATATATATATATATTTGGATTTCATACACTCTTATTTAAACACAATCCTGTCATCCAGTCCTTCCTCTTTCATCCCCCAAATGTGTTTTAGGATGACAGATCAATACAGTACAAAGAACATAAAAAAATGATAGGATGCTGTAAAATAACAATGTTTTCTGGGTAACACTTTACAATAAGGTTCATTAGTTAACATTAGTTAATGTATTTATTATCATGCACTAACCATGAGCAATACATTTGTTACTGCATTTGTTCATCTTTGTTAATGTTAGTTCATGAAAACACAGCTGTTCATTGTTTGTTCATGTTAGTTCACGGTGCATTAACTAATGTTAACAAGATTTTAATCAAGTATTAATAAATGTTGAAAATAACATTAACAAAGATTAACAAATGCTGTATATGTGCTATTCATTATTAGTTCATATTAACTAATGTAGTTAACTAATGTTAACTAACGAACCTTATTGTAAAGTGTTACCGTTTTCTGTCAACCAAATGCTTTTTATTCTTTGCTATTCAATGCAAATTAAATTATTTGTTTGCGAGTAGAGACGTGCGTGTTCACGTAAGCCAGATATGAGCAGATTCTCCTTAATATGCTGTATTAAATATATCATGATCACGAGTTTACGCTAAATCTTTGCAGATTTGTGTTACACGAACTTCCCAGCAAAGTGAGTACACATAATAAGTAAGACGCTGATTTGGCTCGTGATTTATTTTCAAACCCTAATTTATTATACACTAAAAATACAGTAAAAATTGTGTATGTGTGAGAAATTTAACAAACTGAGTGTTGTAGTTGCTGATTGTGTTCAGAGGGCGTGGCTTTGACTCACTGCTGCTCTGATTGGCTGATTCACAGGTGGGCACGCAGCTGATTCGTGGAATTTCGGGAGGAGAGAGGAAGAGGACAAACATCGGCATGGAGTTGATCATCGATCCGTCAGTGCTTTTCCTGGACGAGCCGACAACAGGCCTCGACGCCAGCACTGCCAACTCTGTCCTCATGCTGCTGAAGAAGTGTGTTTACACTCACACACACACACACTTACTCACACACACACTCTCTCTCACACACACACACACACACACACTCACACACACACACTCACACACTCACTCACTCACTCACTCACTCACTCACTCACTCACTCACTCACTCACTCACTCACTCACTCACTCACACACACACTCACTCACACTAAAGCACCAGTAAGTGGCAGCAGGTGTCTTAATGTCTCAATGAGTGAGCACTGAGCCCTGAGGCACTCCAGTGATGGAGAAACCATGTTTCTGATTGACAGGTCCTACTAATAACATGTAGATGGAGAAGAGAAGCGGTCCCAGCACTGAGCCCTGAGGCACTCCAGTAGCTTGATGATAACAGATCATTATCGCTGTTAAAGCAGAACAAAAACAGTCAATGTTGTGTCTAAAATTCTAGTGTAAGTGTGTGTATGTTTTGAGATGAACATAAACAGAGATTGTGTTATTTAAGTGTGTGTGTGTGTGTTCAGAATGGCTCTCAACGGTCGCACCATCATCCTCTCCATCCATCAGCCGCGCTACTCCATCTATCGTCTGTTCGACAGCCTGACGCTCCTGGTGGGAGGAAGGCTGGTGTATCACGGGCCGGCTCAGGACGCCCTGCAGTACTTCAGTGAGATCGGTGAGAACACACGCGCACACACACACACACACACACACACACACATACACGTCTATATTACTAAAAGGGGACTATCGCTCTACACTGGCCAAGAGGGGACTAGTGTTTCTGGTCATTTTGAAGAAACAAAAATGACGTACAAAATTCTCTTTTAAGGTCTTTTTTCATAATATGACTTTAAATATGCATTTTTTTATTTTTAAAAAAACATGCCAAGTGGGGACCTGAAACTCTGGCCGATGTCTACCTTACCAACAGGGGACTCATATAGCCTGCAATTGAACTGTGTGTCTGTGTGAACAGTGAAGTGAACTGGCAGTGAAATCTTGTCTTCATTTTGTAACTTATACATACTTATACACATATATGTGTGTGTGTGGGTGTGTCATTATATAATGCTCAAACATATACATGTCTATATTGCTACACAGCAGTGTCGCTGTACACTGGCGAAGAGGGGACATTCTGAATGATATCTATCCAACCAAGTGGGGACTTTGTGTGTGTGTGTGTGAACTGGCAGTGAAATCTTTCTTCATTACGCTTACATTATATATATATATATATATATAATATATATATATATATATATATATATATACACTACCGGTCAAAAATTTTAGATCAGTAAGTTTTTTGCTCACCAAGCCTGCTTTATTTGATAAAAAAATGACAAACAGTAATATTGTGAAATATTATGACAATTTAAAATGACTGTTTTCTGTTTTAATATATTTAAAAATGTAATTTGAAAGCTGAATTTTCAACACCATTACTGTTGCTGATTACACATCAGTTTTCAGTGTCACATGATCCTTTTGATCAATTTAACTCATCCTTGATGAATTAAAGTATTTTCGAATTTCTTTCTCCAAAAATAAAAAATAAATAAATTCTTACTGGCCCCAAACTTTTGAATGGTAGTGATTAATGTTACAAAAATTTCCATTTCAGATTAATTCTGTTCTTTTAACTTTCTATTCATCTACGAATCCTGCAAATAAAATGTAAAAAACTGTTTTCAACAGATAATAATCATAAATGTTTCTTGAGCATTCATATTATAATAATTTCTGTAGGATCATGTGACAATGAAGACTGAAATAATGATGATAAATTCAGCTTTGATCACAGGAATAAATTACACTTCACTATATATTCACATAAAAAACCGCTGTTTTAAATGTAATAATATTTCACAATATTACCGTTTTTTTTTAATCAAATAATTGCAGCCTTGGTGAGCAGAAGAGACTTCTTAAAAAACATAAACAATCTTACCGATCTAAAACTATATATTTCTATACTACTAACAGCAGTGTCGCTGTACACTGGCAAAGAGGGGACATTCTGAATTATATCTATCCAACCAAGTGGGGACTTTGTGTGTGTGTGAACTGGCAGTGAAATCTTTCTTAATTCCGCTTACATTATATATCTATTATATATATATAGATATATATATAGATATAGAAATATATATAGTATATAATATATTCACATAGAAAAACGCTGTTTTAAATTGTAATAATATTTCACAATATTACTGTGTTTTTTAAAAAAAAATAATTGCACCTTGGTGAGCAGAAGAGACTTCTTAAAAAACATAAAACAATCTTACGATCTAAAACTATATATTTCTATACTACTAACAGCAGTGTCGCTGTACACTGGCAAAGAGGGGACATTCTGAATGATATCTATCCAACCAAGTGGGGATTTGTGTGTGTGTGTGAACTGGCAGTGAAATCTTTCTTAATTCCGCTTACATTATAATATTATTATATACATTATATATATATATATATATATATATATATATATATATATATGTAAATATATATATGAGAGTTCAGATGCAAAAGCCTCTAAGTGCCGTTCGAAATATTCTTCAAAAAATGATCATTTTTTATCAAACTTATATATTCAAGTTCAGTAATTTTCACTTAAAGACAATTAATAGGTAACCTTCATTGTAATTTAAGTGAAAGTACTGAATTTAAATATACAAGCTTGAAAAAAATGATCATTCTAGAAGAAAATTTCAAATGGCATTTAGAGGCTTTTGCATCTGAACTCTTCATATATATATATATATATATATATATATATATATATATATATTCACATAGAAAAACACTGTTTTAAATTGTAATAATATTTCACAATATTACTGTTTTTTTTTAATCAAATAATTGCAGCCTTCGTGAGCAGAAGAGACTTCTTTTAAAAACATAAACAATCTTACCGATCTAAAACTATATATTCTATATACTACTAACAGCAGTGTCGCTGTACACTGGCAAAGAGGGGACATTCTGAATGATATCTATCCAACCAAGTGGGGACTTTGTGTGTGTGTGAACTGGCAGTGAAATCTTTCTTAATTCGCTTACATTATATATATATATATATATATATATATATATATATATATTAAATATAGATATAATATATAATAGATATAGAAAATATATATAGTATAATATATATTCATAGAAAAACGCTGTTTTAAAATTGTAATAATATTTCACATATTATTTTGTGGTTTTTAAAAAAAAAAAAAATTTGCAGCCTTGGTGAGCAGAAGAGACTTCTTAAAAAACATAAACAATCTTACCGATCTAAAACTATATATTTCTATACTACTAACAGCAGTGTCGCTGTACACTGGCAAAGAGGGGACATTCTGAATGATATCTATCCAACCAAGTGGGGACTTTGTGTGTGTGTGTGTGAACTGGCAGTGAAAGCTTTCTTAATTACGCTTACATTATATATATATATTATATACATTATATATATATATATATATAGAAAAACACTGTTTTAAATTGTAATAATATTTCACAATATTACTGGTTTTTTTTTATCAAATAATTGCAGCCTTGGTGAGCAGAAGAGACTTCTTTTAAAAACATAAACAATCTTACCGATCTAAAACTATATATTTATATATTACTAACAGCAGTGTCGCTGTACACTGGCGAAGAGGGGACATTCTGAACGATATCTATCCAACCAAGTGGGGACTTTGTGTGTGTGAACTGGCAGTGAAATATGTCTTCATTACAGTTAAATTATATATCTATTATATACATTATGTATATATATATACTATTTTTCTTATTTAACGCTCTCTCTTCATATACTTTCTATGCTTTGTTATGCAGTCCCTAACAATTTACTTGCCATAGTTATGTGCCATTGCACACACACGTCTATATTACTAACATATACATGTATTAACACAGAAGTGTCGCTGCACACTAGCCAAGAGGGAACTTTCTGAATGATATCTATCCAACCAAGTGGGGACTTTGTGTGTGTGTGTGTGAACAGTGAATTGAAGTGGCAGTGAAATACACATCCGTAAAGAGGGTCGCACACCGAATGAGAAGCGCAGCGCTGCGCCACGTCTAGGACAACTCCAAGTATCGCACACCGGACTCACACTTTCTCATCAGTGTATGGCCAGCAATATTGTTATGTTTAATGACATGAAATGAAGATGTTTGTTCTATGTTATAATTGTACTGTACAATTAAATACAATCGTTGCTGAGTCTGCAGTCTGAAAAACTACCTCAGAGCATCAGTTAACTGAATGAATTGAGAATCTCACATGAAAACCCAATTACATCAGCAATTGTCATTCAAGCAGCTGATTTATGTAAATGAATGCAAAACTAAATTTATTGCAGCATAGGGCAAAGTCAGTATACATTATCAACGATTTGAGACAATAAAATAATTTAAACTTTATATAAAACTAAATGGCACTCTGTGGCGGCAGCAGGATTACGTTCAAAAGGTCACGGGCGACGTAGCCGTAAGTACAGAGTCAGTGTTTACAAGTTGAACGCATAGGTTGAACGTGCAAACTAACTCAAACGCTGTTTACAAAAAAGTAATTAAAAGGTAAAACAACGATGTCGGACGATTTTGATTCTGTACTTCCGGCTACGTCGCCCGTGACCTTTTGAACGTAATTACGTAATACGTGACGTTACAAACGCGCCTGACAGAATAGAGCTAGGCTAGCATTTGTCCTTAGAAAAGTTACATTTTTGGAATAAGTTTTGAAATAACCGATCGTTTTGCATGATAAGACCCTTATTCATCGTCTGGTGTCGTTTAAAGACATTTGAAGCTGCATCTGAAACTGTTATTAACCGTCTTTTGGACCTTGGACCGTCTGGTTCCCATGTAAGTCCATTATATGGAGAAAAATCCTGGAATGTTTTCATCAAAAACCTTAATTTCTTTTCGACTGAGAAAAGAAAAACATGAACATCTTGGATGACATGGGGGTGAGTAAATTACCAGCAAAAGTTTTTTAAGAGCCACAAACCTGTATATAAAACTCTTTTTATTCTAGATACACTAAATGCATACAAAGAATAGACAGGATTTTGATGCAATATGCAAAAAAAGTCAGAACAGTCACACAGCTTGATCAAACAGGATCATGTTATTTTATGTTTGAGATAGATATAGATAAATAAAAATATAAATATTTAGACATTTTTTTTACGTTGATCTTACCTAAATGTTTTTTTTTTTTTTTTTTTTTTTTTTGTTAAGAGTTTAAGTAACACATGGAAGCTTGATTTCAATCTTCGAATTAAACTGAAAAAAGTAGCAAATAAATAGAATAGAATAAAGAGTTTTTTTGGTATGTCAGAAATACTACAGAAACTGAATAAAGTAATCCAATGTAAAATAACACTGGATAGTCTTTTTAGTCCAGACTGAATTAAATACAAAGGCTATTAATTCTGATTGCTTAGAATTAATGCTATATTCTGTTGTTTTAATTCAACAGAATTAATGACACACATATGGCTGCGTTCACTTTAAGAACGGATCCCTGTCTCATTTGTACTGTCTGTCTGTCACACGCGTTTAATGCTTATTTAAGACATTAGACTGTCTTTACGAGGTTACTCACCAATACCAGAGTTTTGACATAATGTCGCGTGTTTTTAACTGTTAAAGCGATATAATCCAGGGATAAAACGTTTGTTTCAGGCGAGCTGTTTGAGGCGGATTGGCTTTACTGTATGTGCACGCAGTGAAAGACATCTCTGAGAGTGCGCGAGCACGGGATGGTTTAATATTGCTTGAATGTTTAAACTAAAACTTAAAAAGACGTGAAAATTATAAACGTTAGTTACCATCATAGGTTACGATGCAATGCTGGCCCGATTGTGCAAGTGAATATTTCGTCGTGTCCCGACTCCTAAACGCGAGTGTGTATCGACAGCTGCAGCGCTTAGTGTAGGGCTGCAGCTATCAATTCTTTTTGTAATCGATTAATCTAGCACTTAATCGATCGATTAATCGAGTAATCGGATAATTTGTTTATGTGTGTTTTTAAGCAACCAAAACAAATAATGTATTACGAAAATGATAAGGTGTTTGGCTTTTATTTATTTAAAAGAAAATAGAGGTATTTATTCCAACTGCAACATTTGGCTCCACAACTAATTATTGCAATTTTACCCGTGTTTATAAGTGCCAGTGCCAACAATTATATAACAATACAGTTAAAAACAATTTACTGTAAAACCTGTTACATGTAGCCCATAACATGTAAAACTTTGAATACAAACTTAAATAGTAAAGCCCATTTGGCCTTAGTTTTGTCTTCTTAATACAACATTACAAAAAAAGGATTGCACCTTCTGCAAATTACCCACCTGGAAACAAAAAATATTAATAAAATATCAACCCAAACAGGTACACAAATGTGTACAATTATAAAAAAATAAATAAATGGAAATAAAACAATTATAAATAAGAATCAGACTTTTTCAACTGTAATCTCAAGACAAACATCAGAGTGTGTGTGTCTGTGTGTCTCACAATATTTGTTCCTCCATCACGTCCCGGTGAATGTATGCTGAAATTTTTGTTGCGTGGCTACATAAAAGTTTAAGCATATGATGAATTGCCGCAATTGGTCTGACTGGCGCGCGCTCGCTTACCTCTCTGCCGTCGTGCGCGAGCCGCGGTTAGGAGCTCAACATCTCGCATGCGCGCTCGCACTAGATTACAGGATATTTTAACTTGCGAATTAATATGCGGCGGTAAAACTAGTCGATCACGAGTGGCTCAACAGGTAGATCTATAGACGAACTCATCTTTCAGGCATTTGACCGAAGGGATATACACGCAGCGTGAAAAATCGAATTGCGCGAGTCTCACGAATGAATGCGTGAGAGTTGGCAGCCGCCGCGGGCCCCCCTGCAGGTATACTTTGCAGACACATTGCATCTTGTTTTCTCTCCCCCTTTATAAACATATAATGAATCCCAAACTTTTAGACATTCTCTCAATTTTTTGAAGTCATATGTATCATATATATATATATATAATATATAAATAAAACATAAAAGCCTGCCGGAAAAGATGGGTCTTAAGGCAAGATTTAAAAACATGAATACTTTCACTGTTTCGCACATCCTGTGGCAGCAGGTTCCATAAATAAGGAGCTGCAAAACTAAAAGCCCGGGACCCATAGAAGTAGTGCGGGTTCTAGGGAGAACAAGAGTGAGCGAGGAAGACGATCTAAAGTCCGAGATTGAATATAGATATTAAGAAGGTCCAATAAATATGAAGGGGCAAGGTTATTGAGTGCTTTAAATGTCCGCTTTGGACAGTATTCATGTAAATTATGTCGGTTATGTCTTAAACAGTTGTGAGTGTATCGGATGTGCATCAGTGCAATTGGATCCGTATGTCATTGGAAATAATCCGACGTCTTAAAGTGAAAGTGGCAACAAACATAATGTGGTCTGTGTCCTTAATATTGATCAAGCAACCAAAGAAAAAGAGAAAAGCAATCACAGTTTGTTAATAGCTTTAGTATAATAAGGATTAATTATATTTAATTTACACAAAGAATATTTTCTGCTTGAAAGAATAAAGAAGGATGTATGCATGGTTATAAAGAATGCATACTGTATATCATCCATTGAAAAGGCTGTGTTGTACTTTAGGAAAAGTGGTTTTTATTTAATTTTAAGAATATTTTTTAAATCACAGTAGTTAAATCCGTATCTGTATTGCATGTTCAGACTTTTAAATCATTTATATTAATAGGTTAATAGATGTTTCTTCGGGAGTGTATGGGTTTGTACATTTTATTCTATTCTAATAAATTCTAAATTAACGCATTACAATTTAACTAAACCCATTATATTTTAGTCGACTAAAATCCAATGTGATCTCATGAGAATACGTATGCATTTGTACGTAAAGTGTAGTTCTATCATACGTACATATAATTACGTTTTATATGCGCAGAAACGTATAATACTGACGTATTTACAGAACTAAAATGTAAAATATTTACGTTATTGACAGCACAAAAACGTAATTTATTTACATTTGAACAATCCCAACCGATGTACACATTTGTACATATCACAATTTATGCAAATTAAAATCGTAGCATTATGTTTTGACTCTATTGCATTCACTGTCTTATTCATTACGTTTTCAGTCTCATTTATTGATATAATACTCATAAATATTAACATTTTGCTCGTTTCGCCTGCATGGTGTTAAACAATACACTATAAAACCTTAAAAATACATTCTTTAACTTTACTCGTTTAACCATTTTGTAATATAGTTTATTTGCCGTGAGGCACAGAAAGTGTTTTCTCCTATAAAACAAAAACATAATTCACAAAAGACATCATTTTATTAGTTTGATGTAATCCAAATCTTTAGAATCCATAGCCTACGTTGTTTACAAGAAAAAAAATCCTAATTCAACCTTTTATCCAGTCGTGATCTTCGCCTCCATTCTCAGCAGCACCGTACACGTCAAATCCGCGCTGGTGATGAATTCAAATTCAAAAATCGCGCCCTTGAGAAGCGATACGTCGTTTTTACGGCAGAGATATCAAATGGTCATTGGCTCTTCCCTGCCTCATCACAGATTGAGACATGAAGGAACTGTGACGGTTGGTTTAGTTCTTTTGAAATAGTGCGAAGCTGCGAACTGAAGCCGGATGAAAATTTTCATTGATTATTAATTTAAATTCTGCTCTGTACTTCATAAAAACTATTACAATGTTGCCAGAGAGGACTGCGACTGCAAGCAATCTTCATGTGAACGGCTTTTGGTAGCGGTTTTGACATTTTCGCAATAAATATATTATTGTGATTATACTTGTTCTGTTAGTCACGTTTTTCTTCATAATTGTAACGTTAGTTTACGTAGTTTTAACGAATTGTTAGGGGTAGGTTTAGGGGTAGGAGTAGGATTGGTGGCTCAAAATATATTTTAATGCCAATTGTTAATACAACTGCCATTTCCCAACACATCTGTCCATTATGTTTTATCCTTTTTTTATATTCTGTATAAAATACACTGTAAAAAATGTCTTGTCAAATTAACAGTAACTTACTGGCAACAATTATCCAGTACTTGCTGTATTTCATTCAACAATAAAATTACTTTAACACTAACTACCAGTACTGTTTAAGCATACTGTAAAATCAAATAACATTATTTTACTGTAATTTCTTACCATATTAAAGTACAGTATTACACTGTTAATTTTAATAATACTGTATAGTATTATACAGTTATGAAATGTTATTGTATTTA